TATATATATAATCACCTTTGAAATGTGTCTGGATCAGGATCCAGCATTGTTGTGTGGGTAGAATTGTTGAAAGGATACTTATTGTAATTTTAGAGAAACATACACGCACGCTTTGCCTGAGGGGATTTCGCTCTCAGACTGCAGGCTTACTCGCAGTTCCTAGAGTTTCCAAAAGCAGAATGGGAGGAAGATCTTTCAGTTATCAGGCTCCTCTCTTGTGGAACCAACTTCCAGATTCAGTCCGTGAGGCTGACGCATTGTCCAGTTTTAAGACTGGACTTAAGACTTTCCTTTTCAATAAATCCTATAATTAGGGTTGCCTTGTTATGCTGCCATAAGCTTAGACTACTGGAGGACAAATTGACCTAATTTCCTTAAATGATTTGCTAAAATTGAATAGTTTTCCTGTGATATTATTTCTATATTAACATGTGATTTTTGACCTGCCATTGTGTATCTGTTCCTCCTTCCTGTTCCTCTCAAACCCAGCCGGTCAAAGCAGATGGCCACTTGTCCTGAGCCTGGTTCTGCTAAAGGTTTCTTCTTTAGGAGTTTTTCCTTTCCACTGTTGCCTTCATTCTTGCTCAAGATGAGAGTTCTGTGGTGGAGTTGAATTCAAAGCAATCTGCTCCTCAGAAAAATAATGTTAAATTATTATTTTTATATATGAATGTTTTTGTTCAGTGCCCTGAGATGACTTCTGTTGTGACTTGGTGCTATATAAACTGATCTAAATTGAACATATGTAAATAACAAGATAATTTGGGGATCGTTACAGGAGGACAGGTCAAGATCTTATACAGATCAAAATCATAGTGTAACAGATAAAGTTTTCTTGTTCTTGGGCTGTCAGCCTACAGTGCAGAATTTGTGTTTTGTTTAAAATATATGGAGCATCATGAAATTGAAAATGAGACGACCACACACTGAACTGTTTTCAAAAAATTAGGGTCATTACTCTCAAATGATTGTAACTGAAACGATAGTGCACGCTCTTAAACTTGAAATAATTACAGATGATCTTTAATTGCATTTTAGAAAACTTCTCTTTTCTTTTTCTAAAATCACCAGGTTTGCTTTTTATTTATTTTTTTTATTTTTTTTATGCCGCTCGCTTCATTAAAAGATGTTTGGGATAATAAATAACTCAAAGATGTGTATTAATGAAAAAGGGTGAGAAAGTCAAGAAGTATTTCAAAAATGTAAAGGGGTCATTATATGACTAGTTGTAAAAACTGCATGCCAGAGAGAGAAACACACAACTAGTGGTTTTTTGAGTCAATAGTGCAGGATTTTAATAACAAAGTTTCTTACGTTAACAACAAGAAAATATATATAGATACAGTATATATTTATATAGAAATGACATACATTGTTGCATGAAGAAATAAATGAAATACATTGTTGGTAAATAGCTGTCATCTTTGGGTGCTGAGTTGAAGCAAACAGGATTCTGTTGGACACCTCTGACAATCGATGCCAGTGAACACAATCCATGCAAACTGACACTCTGCCTTACATAGAACCGGATTTGCTGATAGCTTTTCTGTAAACCTAAGCTCATTTCAGATGGACAGTGATAAAGTGGAGATCTGGTCAGAATTTTGGAATGGAAGGGGCTTTTGTGTTTCAGTCCCCGTGGATGAAATGCTGCATCATGTGGGAACAACACAAAGTGTGGTTGAAAGAGGAGGTGATGCAGCACACGCCTCTGTCAACACTTGTTTGAAAGGTCATCATGCAAGTATGGGTCAAAATGCGCATGATTTAAAAAAAAGTTTTGAACTAAGACACTTTCAATCATTTCTAATTTAATTTAAATACTTAGTTTGGGGAATTTTAGCGAACTGAGAATCATACATCACAGTACTGTTCAACGTTTTTGTTTGTGTAATAATTATTTATGTATTTTTCTCATTTATATTTTGAGAAAAAAATAAATGAAATAAATGCCTTCCATAGCAACTTTATTATGGTTTTGTTAATTATTCAGTAATGATATGAAGAAACTAGATTTGTTTTTATATTTTGCACTTAAAGCAAGATGTAGATACTTCATACTTTGTATTTCCATCCATCATATTTAAAATATTAGACCTTGTCTCCCTGCCTTCTCTCATTGTTTGGCATTGAAGCCAGCCATGCCAAGCCTGACATTTTTATTTATTTATTTATTTTGGAACCAGAGTATCATGTTTGCAGATGACATTGTGATCTGTGGTTTGAAAATAATTTCCCTTTGGGATTAATAAAGTATATTTGAATTGAAATTGAAATTGAATTGAATAGAGAACAGGGAACAGGTGGAAGAGAACTTGGAGAGGTGCAGGTATGCACTTGAAAGAAGAGGAATGAAAGTCAGCCGTAGTAAGACAGAGTACATGTATGAATGAGAGGGAGGCCGGTGGAACAGTGAGGCTACAAGGAGCAGAGGCCACAAAGGTGCAGGACTTCAAGGACTTGGTACACTGTCCAGAAAAATGGGGAGTGTGGTAAAGAGGTGAAGAAAAGAGACCAGGCAGGATGGAGCGGATGGAAAAAAGTTTCAGAAGTGATTTGCAACAAAAGGATGGCAGAAAAGGTCAAAGCAAAAGTTTACAAGACAGTGGTGAGACCAGCTATGTTGTATGGTCTGGAGACAGAGACATGGACAAAAAGACAGGAGACAGAACTGGAAGTGGCAGAAATGAAGATGTTGAGGTTCTCCTTAGGAGTGACAAGGCTGGATAAGATTAGGTATGAGATCATCAGAGGTACAGCACAGGTTGAACAACTGGGAGATAAAGCTAGAGAGGCCAGACTGAGATGGTTTGGACATGTCCAGAGGAGGGACAGTGGGTATACTGGTAGAAGGATGTTAGAAATGCAGATGCCAGGAAAAAGACAAAGAGGAGATAAATAGATGCAGTTAGAGAGGACATGGAGGTAGTTGGAGTGAGGACAGAGTGAGATGGAGGAGGATGACTCGCTGTGGTGACCCCTGAAGAGGGAAAAGAAGTCTCAGCGTCTGCATACTCATGATGGAGAGCCTTAAGTTCTGCCTACTTCCCTGCACAAAGTCATGATGCTACATCAGTTTTCGTTTAACCAAAACACATGAATTACAGCTAAACATTAGAAAAATGAATATTTGAGAAGTGAATTATTGAAAGAGGTGAACGAAGCCCAATGGGTCAAATAAATAAAAAATAAAACGCATACAAAAAAAAGAAAAAAAAAAGAAGAGAAACGGGAGAGAAGGCCTCAAGTTTCAGCTTTCAAACTTTTAAACTTACAAATATGCTTTGAATCTGATTCCTGGTCAGTTTGTGTCTCGTAAGCTTTGTAACCTTAATATTCCAGTTTGAACTGAGAAAACTTATTGTCTGAGAAGCAAAACAACTTCATCTAACAGGAAAACATTTTTTTATTATCATTATTTAACTGTTTGAACATGATGGCAACAATGAACATTTTATAGGAGAAATAATTATGGTCAATGGCTTAATTCTCACCTCATTTCATTTCAAATAAAACGAGGAAAAAACAAGATGAAAGTAACAAAATCGGAAATAAAACATGTATAGATTGTTTGTTTAATTTAATAGAATTAAATAAGCTGTTTCAAAAATGTATTTCAAGAAGTCATTAACTCGGAACGTAATGTCATTGTGACTGACATTCTGGTCTCTTTGGTATTAAAGAGTTAGAGAAACAAACAAAAAAACAGAAGGAAAGTTGTGAAATCCAAATGAAACGCACTCATTATAATTAAAGAATGTCAAGTTACACCAAACTTTAATGTGGCAGTATTTTGAAGTGTCTTAACCAGTTCTGGTTGTATCTGTGCATCTATAATCAAACCTTTTTATCTTAAGATCTAAGTAATATAAAACTGACATTATTCAGCCTCCATCTGTCAAAATCAGTTTCTGTTTTTTGATTAAATATAAACTGCACAAAACACGTTGAGTCAAAAGCAAATGGTTTTATTTAGTGTCAAATTGTTATTTTCAATGATAAAAAATTGACATTGTTTTCTTAAAAAAAAAAAAGAAATATACATGCTGCTCAGTGTATAAAAAAGACAAAAAAGTTGAAATATACACAATAAATATATTTAAAAAAAAAGAAAAGCGCTTCATCTGTTGAATCATTACTCTTAAAAGAGTTAACATAAATGGAGGGAGAGGTAAAGGAAAGGTCATTTCTTGAAGCGAAACCAGAAACAAAGTAATAAATTAATGATCCGTGGTCGTTGCAGGAAGCCTCAGAACTTGCAGCAGAACCCGCAGCCCTTGTTCCTGCAGCAGTTGCAGCAGTAACGGCACAGGGACAGGTGGCTCTGGCGCTTCTGCCTCATGTGATTTGGCATCTGTGGGAAAGACAAAAGGCATGAGCACGGTGTCATCAGCAGCACTTCATCCTCTGCGTGCGTTCGATAGAGCAGTGGGCTACACCGTAGGGGAAACCCATCCACTTACATTTTAATTTGCTCTTAGTAATTAGCTTAACTCGTTCGGTCAATTGAACATACCATCCACGATTCCACTGACGTGTCTTGATGCGCAGCAACTGGAGTGTCATTGCTCCCTGCCTCCTCCTGATCCTGGACCTGTTCATAAATTATGCACATTTAGGAGCCGCGAAGGTTCTCCGTGACAAAACATTTGCAGCTAATAAAGAAACGGGGTGAGTTTAGGTGGAAGTCTTACCCCCGTGAATGGGACGGCGGCGCTCTCTAAAACACAAATAAAGGCGAGCACGAGTGTCACTGCAACTGCAATGCTGAAGGCCTTCATCTTAGCTGGGTTTGGTTAAGCAATCCTTTGAAGATTAGAGCTGGTTAGGCTTCTTTCTCATGGGTGTCGAGCCACAGATGAGCACGGCGATGTCCTTAATGTATTCTTCAGCGATGGATGGTGTTCGTCAGAGCAACTGGATTCCTTCAGATGTTTCTCTGATCCTTGTCAGCTCTTTTGGTCTGATGGTGGAGCGTGCAAAACGTGTCGGTATTTATACACACATGGAGCCGGTGTTGCCTCATCACTGCTGGAGGCCCTGCCCATTCCTAGCAGCAGTTACCTAACTCTGCTGGGGAAATTTTGACCTCCTTATTCCTCTTCATCATTCTGTAGTTCTGCAATACCGGAGGAAATCTCTGATCTATTTTTTATACTGTGCCCTCGGTGTCCGTCCTTCATGTAAAAATACTTTCTGCTGAGATAAAACATAATCCCACATAGGCTACTAATTTTTGCCGTGCATGTGCGCAATACGTACTCAGTCACAGGGACCTTTGGCGGAGCAAACCTGACAGGAGCGCAGGAGATTACCCGGCGAAGACCGACACGGCACAGGTCAATCTATTCCACGGCTGACTGAGCCGCACTCATTTCAACCCAGGATATCCTTCATGACAGAGAAGTGGCCACTTTGGAATATCCATGGCTCAGTCTAAAGGGTGTAATTACAACCTCTCAAATGGAATAATTAGCCAGTCATTCTCAACACGTTCAGTTTTTTTTTTTTTTTTTTTTTGCATAATGAGCAGTTGAACCAAATTAAATCTCAGAACAGTGGGAGAATAGCCTGGATTAAAAAAAGCACATATGAGTCAGGTTGTTTTAAGATGAGTAAAGTGATGCTTTGAAATGTATTATTGGTTTAGTTTTTACTTTGCGTAGGTTAATAATTGTATCATTTGTAGATAATAAAGTCCCAAGAGCTCAGAAAACACCAGCTGCTTCTGTTCCATTAAAACACAGTCTGTCACTTCTTGGCGTTCCATCATTTAAGCCACTAATTGTTTTAAAAGCAAAATCAAAGATGTCTCTCTTATGACCACGGCGTCACAATAATAAATCGATCAGTTAAAAAGACTGTAGCTCTGAATTTGTCTGATTTCTTTGTACTCCCATCACTCAGGCAGCAATAAACACCTCCAGATTAATTAACCTGTCAGGGAAAGAAATTTCTTTCTCGGCAACATCGGGCCCCAGATAAACACAAAATCAATACCTATCCTAATTAAATAACAAAATAAAAAAAATATATATAGTTATATATAACTGGAGAGAGGCAAAACTTGATAAATGGTGGAATGTGCGGGCTGATAAAAATCTGAAGCCATTTGAATTCTCATTATACCTTCAAAGTCTTTTCAAATTGCTTCTTGTGGCTCAATTAGGGAACAACATGTTGCCCCCCACCCCCCAGTCCTTCCCCACCTGCCCACCCCTGCGTCAGCCTGTCTTGTTTGCTGATAACCCTGCTGGCCCGTTTGCTTGCTTTGGGTGACCACAACATCAGTGTCAACAAATAGAACCAGGAATGGCTCCATGTCTGCTGGAATACATCCGTGCTTTTTTTTTTTTTTTTTGACGCTCTGGGAAAATCTACGTCGTCGTTATTATTTGATGTTTCTCTGCGTTTTTTCAGAACGGCTGCAGTTTGTTGAGAAATAAACTCATAAAGAGCGTTTTGCGTCCCGTGATGATCAAAACATGAACTCCACTGATCAGGTCGCTGGTTAACCGTAACCCAGTGGTGTAGTCTACGCGATACGTGGGTATACGGAGCATACGCACTAGAAAAGCTTAAGAATTTCAGTATATCCATTAAAAAGTGCCCAATGATACATGCCATATCATTAGGCACGTGTCATTGATATATTAAACGGCAGTTAAACAGTTTATATTCGCTTATCCAGTCAATTATTGTATAATTCTGTACTTAATTAATACTTGAACATGTTTTGCTTTAATACTGTTTTATAAATTCTATAACATGTTTTAATACAAAGACAGCTGTTGTACAAAGTTCGTTGTACATTTATTCAAATATAAGCATCAGAGAAAATTGGAAATGTTCAACATGCTTAAAAATCAAAATAAATTGATAATTACGTTGTACTAACCGGTGTACTTTGGTTTCTAAGCACAGTATACCCACTACAAAAATGTAGACTACACCACTGGTAATAACATATAAATCTGTAGAGATGAGCGCAATAAAAGGGAAAAAAAGTCAAGAAAAAGAGGTTTTGGAGTTTGGAGTTTTTTTTACTCTTAGCCCTTGAGACTATCAATGAAAATCTACTGACCAAACAAACCCAGGCACCAGCGAGACGGACAGATTCACCTCAGCTGGCGCCACTCGACTTTTTCTCTCCTGTTCGAGGGCATTGCCCCCGTCTGTCCCTGATTTGTCATCATTCTGTCTCCTTTTTTACTAACCAGCCTGCAAAGGTGGAAAGAGTACTGAAAATTTGTACTTGAGGACAAGTACTGTTACACTGCTTAAATTGTACTCAATTACAAGTAAAAGTACTGGTGTTATACACATACTTGAGTAAAAGTACAAACTACTCTTCTCAAAAACTACTCAGTATTAATTACTGTTTAACCAATTGATGTGTTATTGTGTTGGCAATAGAAGGCATTCAGTTTGATTTGCTGTACATACAGTAATAGCTACATTCATTTCTCTGACGATAAGAAGCTCCGTCTTATTTTAGTACCAGACAAACCGATGGCAGTGACGATATCTAGGATTACTTAGCCAAACTAATAACCCACACATACAAACAATAAAACAGCAATATCATACAGGCTGTAAAACCTCATATACCACAATATGTTTTTGACATTAGATTCTGAAGTCTTGTCAGCTGCTATCACCGTAGAGATCAAACAAAGTTTGTATCTGGACGTTGTCTCCTTTTCACCCTCTGTACATGAAAAACTCCTCCAGGTACGGCCACGGACACTCGTCCTCAGCCTTTACCTCGTCATTTTCTCTGTTGACAGTGTTGTCCTCTGTCTCCATTTTGGCTTGTTCTCCAAATATTTGGTCCATAAATGACTCTTCTCTACAGAGTTGTCCATTTCTTACGTCAAAGGTAATTGGCGCGTTCGTAATCTAAGAGCCTTATTGAAGAAGTCTGTTGGAAGTCAGCCTGCCCACATCACAGACATCTACACCAACAGATGTAGGAAGCAGGGGTGTAACGATACATCGATTTACATCGATATATCGATTTAAAGGATTAATGATTCAATTATATTGTATTAAAACTAAAACATCGATTCATATCGTCATCTTTAAAATATGCTTTTATTGTGAAATTCCCAAGGCACGTCTGTGTCACCATTTCCGTGCACGGTTGCGCTCTGCGGCCGCCTCAGCAACATGGCTGACGAGTCAGAAAACACAGATAATGAAATTCACTCTCCTGCTGGATTTAAATCAACACTGTGGAAATGTTTTGGATTCCAACAGAAGGACGGCTCAACAGACAAAACTCATGCCGTATGCAACAGGTGCCAGTTTGAGTTCAAATACTCAGGAAATACAACAAATTTGGCCGTTCACCTGAAGAAGAAACACGGCATCGATAGCCATGTTATGTAAACTCAATATCTATCTTTGGGTTTTTTTTATAACTGAGTTAACTGGTTTAAAAAAAATGCACTTAAACATGAGAAATGTGAGACTGTACTGAACAGGTCATTTATTTTTATTTTTTCATTAATTAAGAAAAACTTCTTTTTTTTTTTTTTTTAAATGACTGGTGCCTGTAATAACAGAAATAAAATGGTTAAATCATATTTGAATTGTTTTTTTAATTTATTTATATGTAAATGAGATGGGCATTTGATATCGCAATATATCGATTGAAGACTTGTGAATCGAATAGAATCGAAATCGTACTGTGACAGATTTGGTGTTATCAAGAAAAACCGTATCGTCATACAAACAAATCAATATAACATCGTATCGTGGTAAAGCTGGTGATTTACACCCCTTAGTAGGAAGAGGGCCACCTGCACCGTGAAGGACCCCACTCACCCAGCACACACACTTTATGCCCCGCTTCCGTCAGACTGAGGAACAGCTTCTACCCTGAGGCTGTTAGACTCATGAATCTCTTATCAGGATAATCACTGTGAAGAATCACATCATGTTGCTGCTGATCTGTTTCATGTTGCTGTTGATCTGTTTCATGTTGCTGCTGACCTGTTTCATGTTGCTGCTGATCTGTTTCATGTTGCTGCTGATCTGTTTCATGTTGCTGTGTTCATTCGTGCTCATCTGCTCACACAGACTCATGTTCGTGCTGCTGTTCGGCGTATTGTGTTTACTGTTTTTATGCTGTTAGTGCTTAGCATATTTTTAGCTGATGTTTATATTAGTTCATATCTTAGATCTTATTACCGTTTTTCTTTTACATTATATTGTTGGATGTAAGTGGGACGCTGCGTACATAATTTCGCTCCACCACATGTACCACATGTGGTGCGAATGATGATAAAGAATCTCTGGATTGTTGGCTACAATGATGCAGATGAACGGTGTGAATATTAATTCAAATTGCGGCCGTACTCAGTAGCGACTTCTGGTTTTAAAAGTAGCTAAATAGATTACATGCTCTGAATTGTACTTAAGTATGAGTAAAATTACACACTTGAAAGAAATACGCATTAAAGTACAAGTACTCAAAAAAGCTAGTGAATTACAGTAATGAGAGTATTTGTAATTTGTTATTTCCTGCCAGCCTGACATGAAACATCAGGATTGTGCACACCTTTTTGTCCACTATATGTTTATTTCTCTGCTCCAAACACGACCATATTGGTGAAATCTGTAAACATACGACATAGAAACCATTATGTCCTGGCATTTAGGCATGTATTTCTGCTGCTTGTCAATATAGTGGACCAAAGAAATGTCACATTTTGATCCACGGGGCTGTGTGGAGTTTATGGTAATGGTTCTGCTGATAACGGCTGGGATTTACCCCGTTTGTGTAGAATAAGATAAATGTTACATCGTATTCGTTGGTATTTCCAGAGATTCACTGAGCAGAGTCGGTCCTTAATACAAACAATAATGGCAAAAAATTATAATAATAATAATACAGAATTAAAAAAGGTATTTTTTACAGCAACTTATATTAAGAATATTTGAAATTATGATGAAAT